GTGTGTCGGTGTGTGAAAATAGCGGCGGAGATTGAGTTTTTTTTTTTTTAAATGAACCGAGCATTAAACCAAAGCGGGCTGGCAGGAAAACGCGCTTCGTAAGCATTGGCCGATCTGTGACTTCAAGGGCTCGCGAGTTTCACCTCTGAACAAAGGAAGACCTGGGAGGTTTAATGATGGGGTAGAAATAAGTTTCGGAGAGAGATGAAGACGTAATAAGAAAGAGGTGCCTTGCGTGTCTGGTGGCTGAGGTGTTTAGCTTTTTTTTTAAACGCGTTTATCTTTCTTCGCATTTATTGGGGAGACACGCGTAGTATGTGACGCGCGCGCGATGGTCTTTGCTTGGAGAGGTTGCCCGCCTGGCTGCGCGAGCGGATCCTGTTCTATCTTCTCCCCCCCCCCGCCCCATCAGTGAAGTAATCACAAAGGAGAGTGTCACTGAGCATGTCCAGAGAGCCAGTTGTCTGTCACTGAGATTTGCAGGTTTCAATTTAAGCTTGAGCCCTCCCCGCAAATCTCTCTCTGTGCGCGTTCTTCTCAGCAGGAACCACAAAGTCAAGAGTTCTTGTGAACTCCCCCTCCGCTAGCAATCGGGCTAAGCTTTGGGCTTTCCAGCAAGTCTAAAGAAATGGGTGGCTTTCTTGAAGGGACAGGAGCTCTCAGATCAGGTCCCACAGCCCGGCCGTGTTCATGTGACACCCGGAACCACCCCTTAGCCAATCATGTTTCAGCCATGGGTGTTGTGCGAACCTGGTTGGTGAGATTACTTTGGCTCAGTTTGTTGCACAAATCTGGCCAAGGAAGCCAAGTGAGTAAACTAGGGTTGAGAGTGTCCTTTGAGCAGGGCCTGAATGTAAATCTGCTTTCTCCAAGGATTATGTGGACTAGTAATTCTGAGAGCTCAATTCCAGCACATCTGGTTAGTCCCAGGGAGGGAGAGCTGGTGCAGAATTACACTGAAATACCATCATGTGTGACCAGTGCACAAGCTGGCAGTATTTTAGTGTAATTCTGCACCAGCATTCCCTCTCTATGTGAAGGACCAATATACGTGACCGATGCCCGAGTTAGTGGTTAAGGCATCAGGCGAGAAGCCGGGAGGCCGGGAGTTCTAGTCCCGCCTAGGCACAAAGCCAGCTGGGTCACCTTGGGCCAGTCGCTTTCTCTCTCTCAGCCCTAGGAAGGAGGCCATGGCAAACTGCTTCTGAAAAACCTTGCCAAGAAAACTGCAGGGACTTGTCTAGGCAGTTTCAGAATCGGACACGATTGAGCAGATTAAAAAAAAAACCCTACCATACATGACTAGTGCACAAGCTACTTTGATATTACATGTGGAAGGACTTTATGCCAAGTCATAATGTGGTTTGCCTGGTTTTGGCTCAGCAGTTTGTGGACTCAGCCCTGGAGATTCATATCCATCTTGCCTTTTCTGAACGTCCCATGCAGAACTGCTGCTCATGATTTAGGACTTCGCATATTCATAGAAATAGCTGAAAAGAACCATTTAAACAACTTCCCATGCAGGAATCCATATTAAAGAATTCATAACAGATTCATGCTCTGCTTGAATACCTCCAGGGAAGGGGGTCCACTATCTCCCTTGGGAATTGGTTCCACTGTTGAACTGCCATTGGTCAGGCAGTTTTCCTGGCATTTATCAGAGTCTGCTTTCCTGTGATTTCAGACATTATTCTGTGTTAGGTGCAGGCAGCCTCTGCATTTGCTTCAGTAAAGATTATGGAAATTGTGGCTTAGCATATGCGCTCATGATCACCAAAAGGGGCTACATGGTTCATTTAAACTTCCTTCAAAAGATGGATACAGTGCTAACGAGAGGGGAAAAGGAGTAGAGAATGTAAGGATTGATTGATTGATTGATTGATTGATTGCCATCAAGTCAGTGTCTACCCTTAATTAACACATAGATAGATTTTTCTCCAGGAGGATCTGTCTCCAACCTGGTCCTTCAGCTCTTCCAATGGTCCACCCATCGCCATTGTAACTGGGTCCATCCACCTTGCTGCTGGTCATCCTATTCTCTTTCCTTCCACCTTTCTCAGCATTATGACTTCTGAAAGGAGCTGAGTCTTTGCATGTGTTCAAAGTAGGATAATTTGAGCCTGGTCATTTGTGCCTTGGGCAAATGGCTTGTTTGATGATCCCTTGGTTTGTTTTCTTGGCTATCCATGGTTTTCTCAGGAGTCTTCTCCAACGCCAAATTTCAGAAGGGTCAGTACTGTACTCTTTCTATCCTGCTTCTTTAAAATTCGACTTTTGCTCCCATGGAGTATCCCAAGGAAAACCATTGCCTGCACAATTCTGATCTTTGGAGATCTAGACTTGCAAGCAGAAGTTGAGCAGCATCTGTCAAAAAACAAAACAAAGAAAGCACCCAACTCCTTTAAGGGAAACAAGAAGACAGTAAGAATGGATTTAAATATATTTGAATCAGAAAACCAGTCAGGAAAGTGGTTGGGGTGTCTGCAGGTGGAGTCACAAAAGTCAAGATGGTGCCCATGACCTTGCAGTCAAAAGCTCTTCTTATGTGTGTTGCATGTGATTACATTATTCCAGCTGCCACCGTGACACTCCTGGGTTGGGTCATTAAATGACAAAGAGTGAAAGGGATGCCGAAGGAAGATACAAAGTGAATCCTTTACATCTGTCTTCACTACAGAAGACATAGGACAGATACCTGAGCGTCTACTGGCTTTCTCAGGGAGTGAATCAGAACAACAAAAACAAGGTAATGAGATATTCTAGAACATCTTCAGGAACTGCACAGTTACAAATTACCAGCTCTTGAGGACATCTATCCACCCAAGAGTTCTTAAAAAACGTGAACGTGAAATCAGTGACCTATGAGCAAAAATATGTAACTTCCCTCTCAGCTCAGGCTTAATGCCAGAGAACTGGAAGGTAGCCAATATTTTTAAAAAGGGAGAACAAGGACATTATAGGCCAGAGAATTTAATGTCTATTTCAGGGATATTTGTATAAGTGTAATCAAAAAGAAAAAAAAGCCCATGGAAGAATAAGATTTAAAGATATATTCTTTAAATATTCTTTAAAGATATATCCTGCCTTAGCAACCACCTGCCAGAAATTTTTCAGAAGTATACAGGCCTGTGGATGAAGGTGACCTTGTTGATGTTCTACACCTGGATTTTCAAAAAGCCTTTGAAAAATTCCTTATCCAAGGCCTGAGTAAATTTACCATTATGGGATAAGAGGAGGCATCTTTTTATGGATTGCTGAAAAGCAGAAACAAAAAATAAAACTATCAGTGGCCAATGTTCTCAATGGAGGAAAGTAAGAAGTGGAGTCCCTCATGGGTCTGGATTGGGGTTGACGCTTTTTCATTTGTTCATAAGTGATCTTGAATTGGAGGTAAACAGGGAACTGGCCAAGTTTGCATATGCTACCAATATATTCAGGATAGCAAAAATAATAAAAAAAAATGATTGTAAATTCCTCTAGGTGTTTCTTAACCTTGGCAACTTTAAAATAGGTGGACTTCAACTTCCAGAATTCCTCAGCCGGCATGCATTCTGGGAGTTGAAGTCCACCTAACTTAAAGTTGCCAAGGTTGAGAAACACTGCTCTAGAATAAACTCTTTGAACTGGGGGAATGGTGAACCAAATGGCAAATGTGATTCCATTTAAGTAAGTGTAAAGTGACTCACTCTGTTTACATCTCCATCAATGGGATATGCATGAACTGTTATTAACCTGGAAAAAGATCTGGAGGTCACCTCTCCACAAAGGTGTTGATTCACAGTGGCAGCTGTGAAAAAAGCAATTCCATGCTAGGGATCATTAGGAAAATGACTGAACATAAAACTGTCAATACTGTAAACCCTTCATACAAATCTGATATGTCAGCATCAGGAATGCTGTATAGAGTGCTGGCCAACACATTTGAAAAAGGACATAATAGAATTGTAAACAGTATAGAGGAGGACAATCAAAGTGATCAGGGATGAAAACCAGGAATTGTTAGACTTGAAGAAGGCTTTACCTTGGGGGTTGGATTGGATTGTGAAAGCATCATATAACTGTAAAATCAACATGCCCATCTGGTTTCAAAATTATATGGAGTTGCTGATCCAAGTCTGATCATTGACAGAAATGTGACACTGTCACATCTCTCTGTGAAACCTACAGATGTACAAAACTTCATAAATAATTCCAGACCCAGAAAGCTACTTCTAGGTAGCCTCTGTCTAGGTGGAAGCTTACAAATTCTGAGCAGAGTTGGTGATGGGGGAGAGAAGGAAAAAGTCAGGGACACCAATGGCAATCTACCTGCTCCCCAATCTTCCCAGTGCCTTCCTTTCTCTGCCCTTCCTTAGTCACCCATGTCATGCTGATGTTCTCTGCTTCAAGAGCAGTGTACCCAAGTAGGCTGACCTGCCCCCAATTTCCCCAAGGGAAGTTAGGGGAAGGATGGTGCTGGGAAGATCAGCACAGGCCGTACTGGAGAAGAGGGGATAAAAAGGTGGCGTGCCCCTGTTATCCTGTAAGATCCATCCAGATTTTATTGATTTATTATTTCAATTTTGAGACCACCCAACTCCATAGCAACTCCTGGCAGCTAATGGATTAATATTATCCATATTAATAATCTAATCCAATTAATATAGTCTGTCTGTCTGTCTGTCTGTCT